TCAGAATATCCCCATCAACCCCGACAAACCCCTATTTCTCACCAGGCTCTCTCACCCCCCCCAAGGAACAAGCCTGCCCCTCTCTCACCCGCAGCATTCCCGCATTCCGATGCCATCCCAAGCGCTCCAGGTAATGCTGGAGAGCAGAGGCAGCCCAAAGGACACGCTGCGAGCATGACCCAGCTGGCACCAACATGGGAGTTATCCCTGACCCTGCCCTTCCCAGATTTTCACCCCAAACATCCCCACTATTAATCCAGCAAAGCGGCCCCTTCCTCTCCATTCTTGCATTAAACCACCTCAACTCGCTCTCCCCCCACTTCTTCCCCAAAAAAGCAGCATTCCCTTTGCATTCAATATCCTTACTCTCTCCTTTTTCTTTCATTTTTTTTTAATATTTATTTTAACAGGTATTTACTCCTAACAAGACCCAGGTATTTATAACGCACACCTATACTCCTAATTGCAGCTCGGCAGGGACTCTCCTCTACGTTACCGGAGCATCCACAAGTCTCGCAGCTCGGAACAAAGAGGCTGATCCCGCACGGAGCAGACTAAAAACCAGGGGAAAAAGCAAAACGTGCCGCAAAGAGCCCACGATTTAGATGCACCTAAGCGAGTGCTGGACCCTGTGCGGTAGGAGGAGAGCGAAGGCAGCGGAGCTGGCCATTTTTAATAGGGAGCAGCCTGCGCTCCTCCACTTGGAGCATTCCCTTCAAATAAAAGCTCCTGGGATGACTCCGGCCGGTTCGGCAGCAATAGGATGTGCGTGGGGGTCAGTATTCCAGAGCGACAGGAAAAATGTATTTAAATAAGAGGATTTCTGCCCTCCTCCCCCCCTCACTCCCGCCTTTATTTTTTATTTATTTATTTTGTGCGCACCCCTGTGTTGGAGAATAATGCAAAAAAAGAGCAAGCAAAGAAAAGAGAGGGTGGGGGGGAAAAGAAAAAAGGACAAAACCAAGAGTTTCCCGCGAGATGAAGGAGGATGATCTGGGGGAAGTTGCCGATTTTTCAGAGCCACGCGGCTATTTCGGGGGTCGCTCCCTCCGCGCTGCCGGCGGCTCCTGCGGCCCCGCTCGCCCAAGAAACTTTGCGGCCCCCTCCCCCGCCTCGGTGGAATGGGATAAAAAAGAAGAAAAATGTGTTTTTCAATAAATAAAGCCCCGGCACGGCCAAGCGGCGGGTGC